CGCTTCTATCGTAGTCAAACAGACGGAACTCGTCGGGACTCGTGAGAAGTTTCGCTCGTGCGAACACGGACGGAATACGTCGATCGTCTGGGCGCGTGATGGAGTAAGAAGCGAGGTGGTGGTGGTGGTGGTGGTGGTGGTGGTGGTGGCGGTGGAGGCGGTGGTGGTGGTGGTGGTGGTGGTAAGACGCGACAACGGGTTTGTTGGTGCGTGGGTGCACGCGTGTAATGGTGGAGCAAGTTGTACGCGCACGATGCAGCTGATGACCTTGAACTCTCTGCTGATGTTCGACCTCGTGTTCCTGTTTTTCCTGTTCCTCGTCGGGGTCTCCTGCCTCGTGTACTACCTGCCGGGTACTCGGGCGCATGCTTTCGCACGGCACGAGATCATCACGGCGCGAACGCCGCCGCGCTCTGACGCACCGATCGACAATGTATAAGGTGGGTATAGAAATGGATTCGATTGCAGACAGGCGGGAGATTATGCGAGATGTCCCGACAGATACGACAGACGTCGCACCGGGAGCATCGCGCGATATTCATGAATAGCCGATGAGCCGGCTATTCAATTTTCAAAGAAAATCGCTCTTCCACGCAAGCTGGAATTATCTCGGTTATAGGCGTCATATTCTCGGCTGCCTCTCGATTAAATTGTTCCATTGATGTTCCCGATTTGAAAACGCCGAAGTTGCGCATGCACACAACGCTGATTCGATTACGAAACGCGGATGGATTGGAACGCTTCCCGTGCGTGATTGTGCACCGTGCAGTTTGATTTGCATCCTGATTAAATCGCGCGAAATCGGAGTAGCTCTCCCCCCGTCAACGCTAACTGATTGTCCGCTAATTAAACGCCCTGTCTGATCACTCGTATAACGAATGTGTTAACGTTATTATACGCGCATTTGTCTGTCTCCAGCAAATGTTTCCGCGTACGACATCGAAAAAATGCGGATTTGGTGGTTTAGAAACACCGGGTGCGATTGTAACGAAAATTAATAACGCCAACCAGCCAGAAATATGAATGCAAATGAAATATCCGGTGCATGTCTGATTAGCTGAAAGCAGTTATCGGAAATTCGGATGATCAGATCTGTCAAAAGCACTCAGGGCTACCCCTTTAAACTTGTGCGACCGAATTCGGATATTGCATAATTCAACGCTGTTCTGCTTCGGGCGTTACATAAAAGGTGACCGAGTTGCATGAATGGTTGCACGTATGCCCATTGTGGGCCGAGGATAACTTAATACGTGGAAAGATCGAACGTGATATAAGATAAATTACAAACTTGGTTGGGATAGTACACATATCTAAAATTATAATCTTGAAAAATTAATGTGACGCTAATAATAAAACGTTGCAAAAATAAAAGGATCGACAGCAACATACGTCGTTGCCATTTTAAGTTTTAAAGTCGATAAAGAAAATCAGCTGGAAGGTCCGTTATGATGAAATTGATTATAACAATCTAATAAAATAATATTTAGTGAAATATTTTGTTCGGTTTAGAATTAATATTGATTTTTTTTTTCCTCTAATAATCGACTTATTGAGCAACAACGGAAACTAGCGTCGAATTGGCTCGTTAATTGCTCCCGACATTCTCCTTTATCACCGGCTGACTCCGCGGAAAACTGGCGCCCGGCTTCGCGAAATGGAATATTTGTCGCGGAAAATTAATATTTCCGCAAAGTTTCTTTGCACTCGCCGCTGGGAGAAATCAAACTTGATACACGATGCTGTAGGAGCTCACAAACAGCGATATTAATGAAGGGCGAAAGTTTTAAAATTGGATGACGCTCTAACTTTTCGGCGAGTGTTGACATGGATAAAATAAGAATCAGAAAAAGAACAAAGTTTCAGATTATTTAAATTACACAAAACAATATGTATATTGATAATAATATTGCTTTTTCTCTTTTTTTAAAAATTATACTTTTATCGCTGAATTTAGTTATCCCAAAAAACGATATATCCTTGAAAAGATGACATGATTTAGAATAATTTGTATCTGTAAAAAAAGTATTTGTTGCTACAACAGTTAAAATTATGTTTACTGATGTAACTTTTGCCATTACATTAAAAAAATTAGAAGTAATTTTTAACAAAATAAGTTTTACCACAGTAGTTTTAACAGAGGAGTTTTTTAACAAAGTAATTTTAAACAAGTAAATAGTTTGTAATATAATTAAAAAGATTACAGTAACAAACTTTTTAATGTAGCAAAGTTATCTTGTTACATCAGCAGCATAATTTTAGAAATCCATTAATCATTAATTATAGCACCAAATATTTTTCTTCCGCGCATAAATTCTCTACATCGTAGAATTATAAGAAAAATCAGATATAAAAAAAAACAATATATATCTATTGTTACTATCAATAATGTAATATCAGTTTAAAATCTCCAATAATTGTAAAGGTGAAGGTATGATCGATATTGTAACGAGAATGCGCGAGGCAATATCCGCAATAAATCCTATCACAATACAATCTAACGCTCTTCGAGCTGCAGGATGTACGAACTTGCACATCCATCATCGTACTACGAGTCACTATATTTTACGACAGTTCATCGATTGGAAACGACCGAAAGATAATGTACGGTAGACGTGCGTAGGCCAATGTCAACAAACGAGACAGATCTCAATCGCGAAATGGACTGTCTGGAGTGGAAAGTTAATCAAGACATTTATTGATGGTGTAAATAATCACGTTCACAACCGCGTTCACAACCAGAATGCATCTCCTTAATTACTGGCTAATTACTGTAGGAAAGTTACACCTCGGAGATTATGTTTGATTTATAACTTCGTTCACGGAACAAACGTGCGTCGCGCTGGCTGCACTCCGGATGGGAAATTCAACTCGCGATAACTTCGTAATACATGTCAGTAACGAAGCGAACGATCACGTCCAATCGTATAAAGTCGGACATGTTGTAAATTGACAGCCGTCGTGTTAGAGTTAATCTCGATTAAAGTCATACCGATCGAACAAAATGGTGGAAAGGTATCATACAGTCTGTTCGATAAAACTGGCGTTTGCCAGAAAATGATAAAACGATTTGTTACTTGGAAGATAAATCTTCTTCGCAATATTATGTTAACAGTTAATACTTATTTGACAGTTTATGATTGTGACTACTTGATTTATTAGCCAGTTTGTTGGAAAAGTACAATATCAAAGCTTTACTGCGCCAAAATTGTTGTAAAAAAAAATCGCAAAACGCGTTTGCGCCTATGGAAATCCTGCGATCACGATCGTCGCATGAGGGAGAACCATGGCAGTTAACCAAGTTAGAAGTGCGAGAAAGTGCAGAAGAACGAAACGCGCGTCCGCAAAACCGAATATATCGACACTGAACTACGTATCTGAAATTTAGTTTCGCGGGAAACTCGATAATCTAGAGCTTTCGTGCGTGTGTTCATCGAACTTCTCAATATAATACGCGAACATATTTATTTTAGTGGAGAAAATATACGATAATCCAAGATAATCACTATTCTCGAGAAAATGGGATATAAATTAGACATATATGTCTATCTGCTTTACAGACAAGTTATTATAATTATTTTATATTCGATTTCCCAATAATGATGAATTATTATGATTCTATAATCATAATAACATATCTATAAAACAGATAAACGTAACACTTTTAATTTATTTTCAATTAATTACAATTTCAAAGCTCCTTTTCACTTTCATGAGACTTGAATATAATATCGGAATGTATTCGCTTTTCATATTAAACAGCTCGACGAAATAATTAGGTAGCGGATTAAATTTTGATACAAGCCAAACTTGACGCATGAGACAAGTCCCCTTTCCCGTAATGTGATCGAGTAGAAATCAGTGAGAAACAGAGAAAGGTAGATAACGATAGCCCGCGTTACTCTGCTTGAAAGAGCAGTCGCGGAGCAGAATGCTGCTGAAAACGGGGCTGACGCCTATTGTTTTCTCTGACGACGGTATATCTGTTGATTGTTTCTCGAGATGTGCATATGACGTCGAGATTTGCGCGGTTGCTAGGTTTGTATGCAGGCAGACCCTGCAGAAGAACTATGCGAACGCATCGTCGCATTTGATTAAAAATAAATCCACGGGGAAACTCGGGGACCTTTATGTTCAATCAATAAATCAATAACACATCTTGATGTTATTTCCTTATATTTCAATATATGGAAAAGATTTCGAGAAAAATAGAAAATAGGAAAGTTCGAACCAAAAAAATTTACGAAACATTATAAGCCGATTCTTTTTTGTTTTTACAGCCTTATCTTTGCGGCGTAAATAAAAATTGTATAGGAATTTTTTTAATAAATTGTTTCTCAAGATAATTTTTAAAAAGTTTATAAAAAAGCAATATAATAAGATTCATATAAAAATATTTCCACTACTTGATTTTTTAAAAAACATGTTTATGCGCGAATGCGATCAATAACAGAAAGATATTACATTTACATACATATTTATTTTGATAAAAGCAAGACTTTATCGTATAAATTTTTATTGCGACAAAATATTTCTCGGTATTTGTACCGCATGACGCTGTCGGGAAAGTAAAGGAATCTAAATAATCTTTGAGAAATAATTCTTCATTTGTTAGTGCGTAAAGTAACAGCGACGTACCGAACAAAGGGGCTAATATAAACGGGGCTGAGCAAGCAACAAGCCCGATACCTTCAATATGCGCTCCATGGCTTGTTTGCATTTGTTTATTCGCGATACGGGCTACAGAACACGTTACCATCGTGTCGTTTCCCAGATTCTGCGCATGTTCATCGTATAAGGCAAGATAAAGTGTCAGCCTAGTATTCGAAATCTCTATCTCACGCGTGCGACAATCGCACGCCCGTCACTTAATATCTTTAGGTTATATTATAAAATTCTACTACAAAATTTATCAGTTATCTAAAAATTCCACATAAAAATTTAAGTGTTTACAAATTAATCAAATGAAGTGTTATATAAAAATATTTTCATATTCATCGCAGAATGCCGACGGATGTGACCGGGGGCCCAGGACTCGCAGTAGTGGCAGGGGATGTCCTTACCCTACGAGGCACAGGACTCGCTGCTGCAGAAACGTGGGCTCTCCTCTGCCAGGCAGCCCAGGCCCTCCAGGATCTTTTTCTTTCAAGTAAGTTAAAATTTACGTGCTCTATTGTAATAATCCATCTCGACACTATTTCCACGAAAAAATATTTGTATACAATCTTGATATGTAATTTTTTAAGAAAATGAGAAAAAATAAATACAACAAAAGAGATATTGTTGCTCAATTAAAATTAATTAATTATAAAAACAAATATGTTGTATGTACAATATATATTAATATCTGCATCTCCAAAAAATACTTCTTTATACAAATAATTTATAATTAATAAATAATTATATATATATATTTTATTAGTTATTATCAAATAATAAAACTATAAATAAAAAAACTGCAAACTAAATTTTTTCGAAAAAAAAAATCATTCCGGTACCGGGAATCGAACCCGAGCCTCCTGGGTGAAAGCCAGGTATCCTAGCCACTAGACCATACCGGAGCACGTGAGTTTCTCTGCAAACTTGATACTTCATGTAAAATACAGACAAAAATACTAATCTATAATAAAATTTACATAATTTTTTTTCTAAATTATTGTAATAACATTAAAATATGTTATCTTGTTGATTACAAAAAAATCTAATAAAAAATTGATTTAAACAAATGTATCATTCTTCATTTTTCATATTTAAAAGAAAATTTCTTATAATTTTTATTTCTGAAATATTCAAATGTTTAAAATACATGATCATCTATTATTCTGTTCCTTTTTCATACCAGAAAATATAACCTCACTCGAGACTTACGCGATTCTTTTCTGCTTTCGAGCATAAAGCAGCCAAAGATGATCCATCCACAAATCCCAGAGGCTTTTCGGAAAATATTGGTCGAGTTTGTCACAAGCTTTCAATACATGTAACACAGCTTAACATGTTTCAAATACGAAATACTGCGTGAAACCGAAACTTTTATCATGATCGATATCACCGTGCAATTCATAAAAAGAACCGATGAAATTTCAGCAATAAAAAATTTAAATATGATCAAATAAAATTAATTTCAACAATGTCGTACTATCTAATTCTCTAATTAAATTTATAAAATCTTGCACTCGATAAAATTTTATTACAAATTAATTTATTAATCATCAATACTGTTATTGATAATTATCAATTTATCTGTGTGAAATTTTCAATCATTATATCATCATAAATTTAAAAAAAAAGGTGTAATGCCGATACTACTAATTATTATTGAAATTATGAATTATTATTACAATATTTGAAAATTCTTGAAAAACACATAATTCTATTTTATAATTTTCTATTTTATAATCATTATTATCATATAATCGATAAAAGTTAATATCATTTACGTAATATCGTCCGCAATATCATTCTAATAAAAATGTCATTTGCATTTCTCATCCTGACAGCGATAAAATATTCCACAGAGAGGAAATTTATGTCTGTAGAAATGTTATGTACAAAAATATTTCCACTAAATACATTATCGCCTTGGATATTTCCGTCAACGTCACCGGCAATATTACAGATAATCCGCTCGATTACATCAACCCTCTCTTGCATCATTACTCCTTCGCGTTTAAAACACCCCAAGGGTCAAAGCGAGAGACAATGTCATGGTCTGACAAGGCAGTTCTCTTACGGTATCTTCTTCTATATCCGGTTTATTTCACGCATCGACGGCCGTCGGCACACTGTCGAAAAAAATGCCTTTCGTGACGGGATGCGCTATAAAAATTGTATCCATCCGCATCATCTACCCTCTGGCGCCAAATATCCTCGACCATCGAGTTACGTGATTGATGATGTATAGGAGCTAGGCAGAACATTTTTTTCCCAGAGAAAAGGAAAACAAGAAGAGATTATTTATCTAATTAAATCATTAGATTAGCTTCTATTATATAATTTGTACAGTTGTTTGTTATTTCTTCCAATAATAATGAAATAACAATGGAAATACAAATTTTCTAATTAAATAGAATAACGCAATGTGTGCAATTTGATGTCATCCGGCATTAATCATGCGCATTGTATATGTCATCATATTATCATTATGCATAATTATATATACCTTATCACGCAATTAATAATACGCGTGCGAATTTATTGAATTATAGTGCGAATAGGAAGGCGCCATGGATGCATTTCGTGTACGCCCGTATGTTTGCGTATGCGAATAAATCATGGAACATGTAAATTCCATCCAATACCATTTCTCTTTTGTCACGCAGCTGCGTTTTTTTATTAAACTCAGCGTGAGAGGGTTCTCTCTGGTAATCGCTTATATTATAATAACGCGCGATCGGAGAAACTACCGCAACGCTACTCGTTATCTTCAAATTCATTAATATCTCACTCCGACTTTTTTTCCGCAGTGGAAAAATTCGCGATGCATCCGGCGCCATATGCGTCGTGCTTTATCGCCGCTCTCTGTCGATTCATTCACGTTCCCCGTGGCGATGGATAAATTTATCATCGCGCGAGATTAACACACTTTCGAGATCTGCATCGTTGCGAAAATTGCGTTGCTGCGAGCGTAAAATGGGAATAACTCGAACGCAGAACGACGAGAGACAAACATTTCTCACGATATGAAATAATACATTTAAACGACCGCGCTCATAGATAGCATTGGGGGAAGATCCGCGATTTGTTCTCGGTGCTTGCCTCGGTGTTTAAACGGGGTACGGCGAAGGGAAACGGCAAACGGAATTCGGAATCCGAAATGGAACGGACGATGCATTCCAAGAGGATCAATAACATCAAATGTGGACAAAGGACAAAGGCCGAGAGGTCGTGGGCAGCTTAAACCGCATGTATCGCGACGATTACGACGCTTCCCTGAACGAGTCAGATGTCAGACAAGCGTCAACGTTAAATATTCAATAATCACAAGCCGTGTCGAGAAGGGTGTTGTCAGTGTCGTCAAAGAGACGCTGGCTAATCGAGTAATCGACGACGCTGTCGCGACATTAATCGCATCACCGAGCAAAGCCACTGTTACGGCAGTTGACTTATCCGTGAGGTTACCCTCGTGTATTAAACAACTTTCCCATATAGATATCGAACTTTATATCGCTATGTTTTACGATGAGACATATTTATAACGGAACCTTTACTCTCTCTCTCTCTTTTCAACGATTGCTTCTACGGGAAATTTAAAAATATACCCGAACCTCCTTAAGGTACTTTAAAGAAGCAGAATCTCAAGAAGCAGCACTCTTTCGGCTAGCTCTTGAAAATCTTACACGATCTCTCAAGAAGTATCTTCCCTAGAATCTTCCTCTAAAGGACTCGAGGAGAACGTACGTCAAAGCCTTCGCTATCTAATCAACAGACGTTTGGAACATCCCGAAAATATGCAGTTCAATACATTTCCTCTTTATAAAACTGCTTAAATTTAAATGACGACTGATACTTTTACTCGATCGCAGCAATATAGAGAAATGTTGTAGCATCATTATATATATAGTATCGATGGTAAAGTTGGAGGGGTGATGATGATAAAGATTTGTGAAACAAGTAGATTATGGAGACTGGTAGAAGTTTGCACTTTCTGTTCGGTAACGTCGAACATCGAACTTAACTAATGGAGGCAGTGAAGTATGGATACCGAGCAAAGTAACGATATATCTTCGGTATCGAAATATCCATCATTGCATCCCTCTTCTCCCCGACATCGCGCGAGATTAAACGCATCAAGCCGCGCTCAACGTTGCGCCAGACTCTCATTCTTGACTCGCATACGCGCGGCTTAACAGGCGTGTTTACAATGTCGGCAATTCGGGCCCTCCGGTTTCGCCCCCTGAGATTGCCGTGAGGTATCCTGCACGCGATTGCGATGCCACATAGCATGACTCACGAGCATCGTATAATAAGCGGTGCCTCGTCGGCACCGCAGGACCCCCGAACCCCGAATGCCGAGAATTCGTCCTTGCGTTTGCCCTGAGAACTGAGAAACTTCATTTTGTTGCTTGATTTTGAACGTCTCTTGAGCATAGTAATCTCGCAAGCTCCTCCGAAAATCTTGTAAGCATGCAGTGTGACAAAATATTTAGAGTAAGGTAAATTGTAAAGTAAAGAAAAAAAATGTTTTTATAAATCGTAGCTGTTATTAATATTGGGATTTGTTATTTATTAATTTTCAAGATTATTTTCAAGATATTATGAATCTCATAAATATATCTCATAAATATTATTAATGTCATTATTGCGTTCAAGAGGTGCTTTCAAAATAAAAAATGACGATAGCAATATCATTATATTCACTGGTTTTCATATAGAAATGTAATTTTCTGTATACGCCTCAAGAATCATCCGTGCGAGATGATTTGACCGCATATTCTCGAAATGGGACCGCGGCGCTTTTCCCTCGCGTCAGACAGCTGCCGGAAGCTTGGAATTATCTCGTAAATCCGCAAAGCTGTGAAAGTTTTAAATGCAAGATGTGGTTCCATCGAGAATCGTCGCGTAATCACCTTCGTAGCGAACTCGTCTAGATGTCTTCATCTGGTCCAGCAAGAACCGCCTTTACCACCGCAACCCTTCAAAGCAACGCTGTATCCACTCGGGGGTACACCTAGCAGAAGAGAAGCCCGAAATACCGGCGGTGGCTCCTTTGGCTGCGGATCGCGAAAAGTGTACAAGAGCTTTAATAATGTCGGCGACAATGCCGTCGGCGAGAAGTCAACATCCGACGACGCACAAAACAGGGTCACCGGTGAATCCGTGCGTTCACCGCGCGGGTCTTTGAAATATCTTCATCCACATTAATACAAAATTCAGCGAAACGCGGTCGCGTCGTTGCTCTAAATGTTTTCAACTATTTACCAAAGACGCACGCTTAAATCTCGCTCACCTCGAAAAAACGGTTTCTTGCGCTCTTGACTCGTTACGCTATTCTTTCAACAAGACGTCTATCTTTTTGTACGGCAATATAAAAAAATTAAACGAATTAATAGAAATACATTTATAATTTTAGAACAATATAAATAAAATAACAAATTAAAACAAAATTTAGAAAAATTAATATTTATGGATTATAATTCATTCGAAAAGATA